CTTCCCCTTTCATCTTCCTCAACTTCACATTCTTCTACCATAACCTCAACCTTACATTCTCCTACCATGCCCTAAGGTAACTGAGTAAAATGACAATTTCTTATGATGAGCTGCTACCTTTCCTCTGCTTTTCTTTCCTCTTCTCTTTCTCTCACCTTTATTCTTAAGGCACCACGGATACTTGCTATCTTGGTCAGGACATGGTGACTCAAATTTTATTTATGAACACAAATAATTGAACATATTGAGAACATAAAGAACAGCTTTAAAAGGAAAATTTTTTCTATAACCCTTGTTGTGTAATAGTATGGGGAGCTTTAAGTTTTCAGTCTCAAACTATAGCTGCATCTTCTAGATTTGGCATCTAGCAGTGACAGATGGCAATGTTAAAAATAAATAGGACATTCAAGTTGTTTATACTGTAGGCAAAGACAGTTTTAAAGTGTGAAACAAGCCCAAGGCTGATTGAATTTACATCATGCTTTTCAAAATGATTAAGAATGCACATTTCCCTATGCCAACTCTACAATACTGTTCACAAAAAAAAATAAAACATTAGCTTTTGAAGGAGTACTTGTTTTTACTAATTGCTAACTTAGAATTAATGATGACTTGTAGGTCTTCAAATTCAAACCTACTTTCTAATATTATCAATAACTTTCTAATATTATCAATAACATTGGGAGACTTATCTCCCAGTGTAAAGCTTCTGGAGGTTATTATTATATGTCTCAATTCCCCATTCAAAATAAGAAAAAGTATTTGGTAACAGTAAATTTTTTTTCAATATTTTAAAAATTGTCAATGGACCTTTATTTAATTTATTTATATGTAGTGCTGAGAATTGAACTCAGTGCCTTGCAGATGCTAGGCAAGCACTCTACAACTGAGCCAAAACCCCAGCTCCTAATAGTTTAATATTGTCATTAAAATTTACTCTATGTTTTAAAAACTCAGTTTATAGGACATTTCTGAGTAAAAGATGTCAAAGATGATATGTAATGACTAATGAACTTATACCAATGGGAAGATGGATTAAAACAATGCACAAGAAATCACAAAAAAAATTTGATGTCAAATTTTAGTAGCATCAAAAAGTAACCATAAAAAACCTAGGATGATTTCAATAAGAAGATTGCTTTTGAAAAAAATCCAACACTGTTCTTAAAACAACACTCAACAAACTAGAAATAGAAGGTAACTTCTCAGTCTGAAAAAAGAGAGTATCCATAAACACCTTACTCAATGGTGAGGGACTAGATACTTTCCTCTAAGATCAGGCACACACTAAGATTGCTGGCACCTGAGGCTTCTGTTCAACATTGTATTAGAGATTCTCGCAAGGGAAACCAGGAGGAAATAAATAAATAAATACATACATACATACATACATACAAGACATTCAGAATGGAATGAAAGAAGTAAAAAGATTGCTATTCATAGATGACATGATTCTGTATAAAGAAAATCCCAAGGAATCCACTAAATAATGAATAGAACTAATAAGCAGTTCAGCAAGGTTTCAGGATTAAAAAAACTGCATTTCTCTGCATCTGCAAAGAACAATAAGTAAATAAAATTAAAAACAATTCCATTTACAAGAGCATCAAAAATATTTAAAAATAAATTCAATAAAAGATATACTATATCTAATAACTCTGAAAACTATAAAACACTGAAAGATATTAACACTCTCTAAATAAAAAGAAAAACAGTCTATGTTCAGGGATTGGAAGACTAAATATTAAAATGATAAAACTTCACAAATTGATCTACAGATTCAATAAAATTCCTATCAGAATTCCAGTTATCTTTGCAGAATTTGAAAAGCTGATTCTAAAATTCATATACAACTGCAAGGGATCCAAAAAAAAAAAATCAACCCTTGTAAAGAAGAATCAATTAGAACTTAACACTTCTTTTTTTTTTTTATTTGTAGTTGGACATAACACCTTTATTTCACTTGTTTATTTTTGTATGTGGTGCTGAGGATCGAACCCAGGGTCCCGCACGTGCAAGGTGAGCGCTCTACCGCTAAGCCACAACCCCAGCTCCAGAACTTAACATTTCTTAATTGCAAAACTTACTGCAAAGCCACAGCAATCAATATAGGGTAGTTCTTGGCATAAGACATACAGATCAATGGAACAGAACTGAAAGTCCAGAAATAAAGTCATGTACTTAAGGTCAACTGATTTTCTACAAGGGTGGAAAGACAATTCAATGGGGAATGAACAATCAATAAGCAGTGTTGGAACAATCCACATGACGTTGCATCTCTGCCTCACACCATATATGACAATTAATTCCAAAAAATAGATCACAGACTTAACATTGAAAATCTAAAACCATAAACCTCTCAGAAGAAACTATGAAAGTTAATCTTCATGGCACTAGGTTATTCAAAAACTTTAAAAAAATATACAAAATATTTAAAAAAAGAAAAATTAAACTGGACTTTATGCTTTTATGCTTCAAACTTTTATGCTTCAATAGATACCATCAAGAAATTGAAAGGTGAAATGCAAATCAAAACTTCTCTTAAGATTTCATCTCACTCTAGTCAGAATGGCAGTTATCAAGAATACAAACAACAATAAATGACGGTGTGGGGGGAAAGGCACACTCATACATTGCTGGTGGGATTGCAAATTTGTGGAACCTCTCTGGAAAGCCGTATGGAGATTCCTTAGAAAACTTGCAATGGAACCACCATCTGATCCAGCTATCCTACTCCTTGGTCTAACCTAAAGGACTTAAAATCAGCATATTATAGTAAAGCACCCACATCAATGTTTACAGCAGTTCAATTCACAATAGCTAAACTGTGGAACCAACCTAGATGCCCTTCAACAGAAGAATGGATAAAGAAACTGTGGTATATATACACAATAAACTATTACTCAGCATTAAAAGAGAATAAAATTATGGCATCTGCAGGTAAATGAATGGAGTTGAAGAATATCATGGTAAGCGAAGTAACCCAATCCCCCCAAAACCAAAGGCTGAATGTTCTGATAAGTGGGTGGTGATCCATAATGGGGGGGGGAGATAGAAGAACTTTGAGCAAAGGGGAGGGAGAGAAGGGGGTATGGGGTAGGAAAGATGGTGGAATGAGATGGACATTATTACCCTAGGTACATGTATGGCTGCACATATGGTGCGACCTACATCGTATACAACCAGAGAAATGAAAAGTTGTGCTGCAATTGTTTACAATGAATCAAAATGCATTCTGCTGTCATATATACCTAATTAAAATAAATAAATAACTTAAAAAAATAAAGTGAAAGATGATCCCAAAAATGGGAGAACATACTTATAAATCACTATTAACTGATAACTGACTTGTACCTGGACCAGACAAAAAACACAACTCAATAATTTTTTTGGTACTGGGGATTGAACCCAGGGCCTCATGCATGTGAGGCAAGTACTCTACCAACTGAGCTATATCCCCAGCCCCGCTAAGTGGTCTTTTGAGCCAGACACAGAAAACCATATTTTGTATATTCTACCTTTAAAAAAATCCAAAAGAGGGAAAGCTATAAAGACTGAAAGTAAATTAGTGGTTTCTTGGGCTGTGAGGGAAGAAAGGAATGGGAAAGAAGTGTCTCTAATGGATACAGGATTTCTTCTTGGAGTAATAAGATGTTCTAAAATTAACTGTAATAATAGTTGTACAATTATGTAAATATACCAAAAAACACTGAATTATACTCTTTAAAAGAGTGAATTGCATGGTATGTGAATTATATTTCCCAAAATTGTTATTTTTTTAAGTGATTAGTGCCATATTTTAAAAAAAGAAACTCACACTCATCACAATTACTAACAAATGTTTACTGAGCAATATGCACAGTCTTTTTAATAAATATACCAAAGCAAAATAAAATTGCCTTGAAAACAAATGAGAATCCTGGGTCAAGTAAAAGTGCAGAGAACACTATTTTGAAGTGTTTTCTTTAGTAAGCAATAAAGTTAATATGCCTATAAATTCCTATAAGAGAAATTGGAACAATGACTCCCTAATCTTCAATGAAGAAATAAGCTTTGAAAGGAGTTACTTCCCTTCACCTTTACTTAAATACTTTACAAAGACTGACAAATTTATGATTTGTAAGCAGAAATGAGAAAATACAAAATAAGGAAAGAATGAACTTTTCCCCTGTAATTCCCCTTACATACAGGCCTGTACAAAACTCTGAAGATACTTTAAGCAGTTCAATTAAATTCTGAGGCTTAGAAATCTTCTCCTTTCACCAGAAAGGACAGAAGAAATGTAATATAACTAGGAAAAATAAACTCAATTACTTCTTTGGTCTAAAATCTTTGAGTCTATTTTTATTTTCTTTTTAAAAATTTACATTGGATCGAACACTTCCAGACAAGATACTCTACAGAATTTTGCCCAGATTAAATCATCTCAACACATACAAAAATCCCAATTTTCTTGCTGCTTTTTTTAATCCCCTGAAACACTGCTTTGTTTATTTTAAATTTATTCCACATAGTTATATAGCACTATAAATTATATAAGTAATAAAAAATGCTGCTTCAAACAGTGTTTATGTTCACAGGCACTGATAAAATATACATGCCCTTCAACTGTTATCTTCCAATTGATCACATCAAGCCCGTGATGCCCATGTTAGATCTTTAAACTTATTTTTAAAATCACTTTATTCATTAATAAGCTGCATTCCTCCTATAGTATATAGTATATTCCTCCTATAGTAACCATAAAAGCAAGTAATGATAAAGCTTAGTGGAACACACATTCTTTAAAATTGTCTAAACATTAGAATATACATAAACAACTTTGTAAAATGAGCAACAGAAATTAGGCAGTGTTTAAAATTAAAATCATGTAAAATTAAGAATACATATTATATAAATAAATGCAAAGAACAGCCAAACAAGCCATGTACTTGACTAGAAGCGAACATCTATACCTGTGAGCAGCTGGTCATACCAAACTAATGAAAATGTGTACTCACCTGGTTTTGGCACTGAATTGGTCACCGACGGGGGAACTTTCTGGTTAATTAACTCAACACAATGTCCAGGGAAGAGTCCCACCTAAAGAAAAGCAACAAATACAGATTCCAAACTAGCAAACAAACCAGTATGTGAACACTGCCAACTCAGTTCCAGTAATGTACTCCACAGTCCCTCCCAAATGATTCTATTATTCCAAGATTCTGAATAGCAGATGATGCCAATTACACAAACAAATAATAAAACAATCTGTTGCTATGAGTACACAGACTTATGCAGGGTTCTCTATCCAAATATCTAAGTCTGCTTTTTTAGTGTTAGCTTTTAATTCCCGAAACTTCTTCTATTATAATTAAAATGCTACACAGGCAGCAGATAAATTTTTTTACTGTTTAATAATTCACTTTGCTGAAATCTCAAATCTGGTTGTGCTGACACTTCTGTTGCCAACTCATTGGGTTTATTACTTTCTTTATAAGTTTTTAAAAATTTAACACTAAACCAATTATTTGTGAATTTTCTCTTCACTTTCATACATGTTTCATGAAATAAAAGAACATAATTTTTTAAAAAATGGATTTCTGAAACACTCATTTAAATCATGGTATTCACTGCTGGTAAAGAGCCAGAAGTACATGGATAAGACAGAAAGTGAGAGAGAAGAATTTCAGCAGCCAGATACTTTCGCTTCCAAGAACACACCACATTGACCTTATGACAGAATTGCCTATTGGCTTTTGGTAGGATCCTAATAAGCTATACTAACAAAATTCTGAGTTTCAGATCATCCAGAGATACTGTGAGGCTAATAGAATAAATACAGAGATAAACAGTCTGGAAAAAAAAAGTAAAAAGGAAATCTTTACCAATATTTATAGATGTTTCCTTAGATAGGGATATAAATGGGCTGCCATGCAGCAGATGTTAAAGCTGAAAAATGAAAACTACATCATGTTGTATCTCCCTCTGTTGATAGACTCTGGGAAGAATAGAACAGTCTTCCAAGAGCGTGACTCATCACAAAGTTCTGAGCTGTATAATTTCCATCTGTGTGGGATTATTTTCACACACTCATTTGCAGCATTCTTATTTCAATTTCTAGATCAATATTCTATGGTACTTCTTAAAATTATGAGGACATAACCAGTTATCATGAGCTGAAAGGGGGTTATTAAACGATTATCAGTTTTGCTTGCAAGATTTGTATTTGGGATTCTTAAAGCCCCTATATGCACTGCCTTCCAAAATTATGCTTTCAGTATTTGTTTTATTGATAAAATTCTGTAACACATTCTATTTAAATTTCTATTTCAATAAACGGAGAATGCTTCCAAGATTGGTTGGAACTAGGTAAGAAAATGAAAAATCCTTCTCATTTTCTCTTGTATGAGTTCTGTGAGAAGGTCTGAGGTGCACTGGTTAACAGCATTGTCTCAGGGTAAAGGATGTGGGCTCAATCCTAAATCTACCACTTAGTAGGCTGGATGTGTAGTTTAGACACTCTGTGATTGCTTTTCTGTTTATACGTGATAATGATAATACTTATCTCATATGGGTTTTATGATAATTAAGTGATTAGCATAGGTAAAATGCATTTGATGAGTGCATGCAGTAAGCGCTCATCAAATGTTATCTGTTATTATGCCAGTATATTACTCAAGATCTAGAGAGTTCTAGCTGCTCCATCAAATTGGTATGAAACATAATACACAGGTAAGTGACACATAACACATGTGTGTGTCCTTAAGTTTCCTCACTGTCAAAATGTCATTCTTTCCATAAAATTCTAATTCATTTTAATTTATGCAAAACTGAAATTTCCATAGACAAAAGGTTAGGTGCAAACTTGCCTTACGCATGTTTTTTAGATTCTATGATCTGGAGGACACTGCTTCATTTCCTAATTTGTCACATCAGGAGTAACTCTTACATATACCTCAAAAGTTTATGTGAAAGCACAGAGACCAGTTTCTAAATTCAAATACCTTTCAGTAAGTAAAAACTAGTTTTCCATCAGGCCCTCACAAAGACTGAAAAAAGTTTAATGAATTTCTTCAAAGAATTATATCATACACATTAGTTATATTCTCATCTTTTAAATTGTCTCAATGCATTATGTTTAGATATGTAGGAAAGATGCTATTGTATACTTCATGGAATTTCACTGCAGGCACATCCAATACCTAACCCCAATCCCTGCTCTCTTGTCTCCCTTTCTTATAAAATGTAATATTATTAAATATTAGTTAAAGCAAATATCCAGTTTCCCAAACTCTTTGCATTCAGATGAATTCGAGACACACATAGGCACAACTCTAGACTCCTATCTTGTCTCTTTTTGCTGTAAATGCAGGTGGCATGACTGGGTCTGCAGCAGTCATCATTTGATCACAATGAAAGGCCAAGATGATCTCTAGGATTTTTGCTTATCATCATTAAACTACTGACATCAGTAGCAATAGCTACCTTTTCTCTTCACTTTTCTATGTCTTGAAACCAAGAGCATTGCTAACAGTCAAGGGGTCATTTACTTAAAACACTACATAAAAATAAATAAACAAAGATACATTAAAAAAAGAACACAAAATATTTTTTAAAAAAACTTGTGAAGGCAAACAGATTCCCTTTTATAAAATTTTCATCAAGAAAAATAAAACTGTGTTCTGTTGAAGATATCATATAGAAGAATGGCTAACCCTAAAAATGCAGTTAATGAATACTTACACTTTTATGCTGAATATTTAACCTAATATTTTGCCAAATATACAAAATCCCGATAAACTCAAAGTGTCCAATGGTAAAAGTGACTGAAACTCTGGCAATATTATCTATTAACTATGTCATCCTGTTTCATATCTTATTCTTCCTGCAGCAGTGCTAGAAAGGGAGAGAAGAATTTGGTCCATAATCAGGGGTCAAAATGAGATTCAACTCTAGGAAGAGCTAGCAAGGGAGAGAAAAAGCCATCACCTGGGGCCCATGATGGTAGAGAAGTACATAACAAAAACATACTAACAAATGGAAAAGAAGAATGTAGTGATAAGGCTACATTCTTATAAGAGAGGGGCTTACCGGAAGGAACTAGGGCCTTCATTTAAGTTTTTTCTTCAGGTCTTTGAGATAAAATGAGAAGAAGCCAGAGAGACTATTATATCCCTGTAGAGTTTAACAGCTGGCTCTCCCTGGGGGAAAAGGTCTTGATTTACAGGTTTGGCCAGTGTTCACGGTGCAAATACTCCTACCAGAGCAGGTTTTAAACTACCAACGGGACACAACCGAGCACAGAATGGAGAAGAGATGCAGAACAGCACTCTGTTATATAGTATTGTACCATATAAATCCATTAGATGGAATGAACCTCAAGAGTACAGATAACAGATTTGATTCTAATATAATTCATTGATTGAAAATATTCATACTTTTATTCTTAATAATGATTGGGTTTAACAGCTATCCTACAAAATTCACAAAGATTTTACAATGGGCTCATGCTCATCATTAATTTATAGCTATCCATTTGGTCCTGTGCCTGTGCAACACTGAGAGATCCTAGAATTGCTTTCCAGCAGTCAAGCAAGTCTACAGCTCACCCTCTGGCTCTAGGAGAATAATGAATGATGTAAGGGGAACCTCCTGAGTACCTTGAAGATACTCAAAGGGGGAAAAAATCAAGTTTGGCTTCAACAATATGTGTACTGAAAAATATTTTGGTGCAACTTAGAGGGAATGTTAGACAGAAAACTATTGGAATAAAATTTAAGCCAAGAGCTTTGATGACAGTAGGAAGGGAAAGGAATCCTTGCTCAACAATAGTGCCTAATTCTAACAATAGTCCCTCTGATTCAACCAATCAAAACCTGAAACTAAATTTCAAGATAAAAAACAATGAGCTTATCACTGACTTTTAGAAAAATTTCTACTCTAATTTTTTTATTTCATTATGACTAGTGAAATTTTAAGGCCATTAACAGAGCAAAATATTTTTATAAAGCTTAGTCAAGTACTTGTATTATTCCCAGAGACATACCATCAATTGAAACTATTTGGCCTCAGGGAGTTAAAACTCCCAGGTTTCTAGTGTTTATATTCCATGACAACTGAAGTTAAAATTTAGATGCCCCATTCCCTTCCTTCCTGTATTTATTTCCTCCCAGGGTACTATGTCCCTTTGGATCTTATTTGTTGATATTCTTATTGTTATTGTTGTTATCCAGTAAGAACACTGGGGTTGATCATTTGAGCTTCTAAATCAATTCCCTTAGTTTCCTTGCAATATTAATCTTCTGCCATAGCAATCCCAACCAACTCCCCAAATTACACCAGTATACATCCATAACTTGAATGTCATGTGTTTCTGGAGAAAAATCACATTGCTGAGGAGATTCAAACTAACGCAAATTCAATCTATTATCTAGAAATGCCAACTATTTTTTCCCACTTCCCATATATTCTTAGAGAATTGATTTTTTGATGTTGGAGTTAAGAAATCTTTGCCTCATCCCAAACCACAATTGTTTTCTTTTTTGTGCTTTACATAGGGGCATATGATCAATTTTTAGGTTGTTTTTGCAGACTCTGCAAGAAATAAAGTTTATTTTGAAGACAAAAACAGACCATCTTTCTTCACTGAATTGATTTTATACTTCTGTTGAAAATCAGTTGTCTATGTATGTATGGGTCTATGTCTAGACTCCATTCTGTTTCATTAATCTACTTATCTCTATTTCCACTGATCCTACACTTTACATAGGCTGTAGTTTTACAGTAAATCTTCAATACTGTAGCTCTCCAACTTTTGTTCTTCAAATTTGTTTTGGCTCCTTTATTCTATCTAGGTCCTTTGCATTTCCATATGAATTATTTAATCTGCTTGTCAATTTCTACCCAAGAGTCTGCTAGGACTCTGACTGGTATCAGTTTGGGAAGAAATGACATCTTAACAATATAGACTTCCAACCCATAAACACAATATATCTCTCCATTTGTTTGGGCCTTCTTTAATTTCTCCCAGAAAGGTTCTGGAAATATTTTTAAAATTCAGATATTTTTTCCAGATATATCCTTAATATTTCATATTTTAT